ATGGCAGAAGAAGGGGGTTGGACTGGATGATCCTTGGGGTATCTTCCAACTCTATGATTCTATGATAAATTTATTTTTAATTGTCTTTCATGTAAGAACAAAATATTTTAGAATCAACTGAAAGAGAAATTGCCTGTCAGACATACACTTGGTAAAATGTTGCTTAGATTTGTCAAAATAAAGATGGAGAAGCAGGATGTGCGCAACAACAAAAACCATCATTTCCTGCCGTATTTGCAACCTTTGGGAGGACTCTTAATGGACTCTTCTGTCCTTTTGTTTCGTTTTGGGACTTAAATTGCAGATTTATATGATTTTTTTTTCCTATTGGTTTCTTATTTTTCTGAGTTGCTCCCGTTGCTTTCTTTCTCCCTTTCCCTCTTGTTGTTAAATGAATGTGTGTCAAGAAATATTTTTGACTTTCATTAGCATGTTTCTTTCATTCTTAAGATTTTTAAATAATGGTGATTATTATTATTATTATTATTATTATTATTATTATTATTATTATTATTATTATTATTAAACACGCTGGAACTTTATTCCATTATAGGATAACATCTGTCCTCTAATAAATAATACATATAAACAAAACTAAGTATTCAGTCTGTCTGTTTGTAACCATAAGATGTGAAAATGGATGGGCAGATTTTTTTTTATCAAATTTGGAAGGTATAGTTGGGAATAGTCTGGCCAAAAAATTGGCTTACCATTAAATTCACAGGTTGTTTTTTTCATTCCTATTGAGTTGTGTATGCGTTTTTTGAAAGATTTTGACAAATTCCATTCAAAAATTCCCTTTCCAAAAGTTTTGCCACCCATTCCCTTCTAAATAGGTTTCCCTCTATCTGTCCTTATGTATCTCTTGTTACTGCTTCACATGTATACCTCTGAAAAATAAATTTTCACCAAATTTGGATGGGATATTTGCATGGTTGGTCTTAACATGCAAACGGTGTGGCATACACAAAATTCACTTTGGGAGGAGATGATGATGATGATGATGATGATGGTTTTCATCCATACAAAGTGTAGCACCTGATTAGGAGAGATCTACTCTCTCTGGAGTAACGGAGGCCAAAACTACGCTGCAGAAATAATACAGTTTGACACTACAGTCGCCCCTCTATTTTTGCAGAGGATCCATTGCAGACCCCCTCCGATGCGAAAACAGAGATTCGCCAATATTCAAGCTCCATAGGCTTGAATGGGGGGCGTGGGTGGGACCGACCGTGCAAAATATCCCATCCAAATCTTCAAGCTCCATAGGCTTGAATGGGGGGCGTGGGTGGGACCGATGGTGCAAAATATCCCATCCAAATCTTCGAGCTCCATAGGCTTGAATGGCAGGCGTGGGTGGGACCGACGGTGCAAAATATGCCATCCAAATCTTTGAGCTCCATAGGCTTGCATGGTGGGCGTGGGTGGGACCGACCGTGCAAAATATCCCATCCAAATCTTCAAGCTCCATAGGCTTGAATGGCAGGCATGGATGGGACCGACTGTGCAAAATACCCCATCCAAATATTCAAACTCCATAGGCTTGAATGGCGGGCGTGGGTGGGGTTGCGCCCACGAGGACATGCCCCATTGATTTTAGCAGAGGTGACCCCTCCGTGAATATGCAAAACCATGGAGTTCAAGTCTGCGAGAAAGGATGGGTGACTATACTTTAACTGCCATGACTTGGTGCTATGGAATTCTGGGATTTGTAGTTTTGTGAGATATTTATCCATCTCTGGGGCTTTGCAGACCAACCTAAAGGGCCAGCCTCGGGGTGGAGCTGGGGAGGGTAGCCACATGCCGACTGCCCCAACTCAACCCCATACGCACGGTGCACAGTGTCAGGACGCCCACCAAAAGGGTGGAGAGGAGCTGCG